CGTTGGTCCAGTGTGTTCTTCCACTTAAATCTTTATTGGTGCTTTTTAACCAATATATAAAACAGTAATTGAACAGAAAAAAACACAAAAACAGAGAATCGCCTATTGATATGACTTACATATTGTATATATGTTTATTATTATGTCCTCGTTCTGTATTTAAAGTCTTATAGAGGGTTCCTCCCAGTGTGTGTTTCACAGGTGACACATGTCCAGGTGTCCTCTGGGACTCAGGGCTCCACTTCCTCCACGCTCTCACTCAGTTTTTATCTTGATTTGATTTAATTAATAAACATCTATAATTAGAAAATGACCAGAGCTGTACTGTTAATGAGTCAATCACTGGGTTTATTACGCAGCATTAAATATGAGTCATAACACAAATATTATGTTTTATTTAGTGGCTCTTTTTAGAACCTGAACGGGTTTATTCTGGTGACACACACACACCAACACAAAGACACACACCAACACGCCTGTTAGTGATTTGCTGAGTCGTGTTCCTGCCAACATGTCGACTAATCCCTGACTTCTGTAGCAAAGTTCTGTTTGTTTGTCTCTGTTTCCTGCCTGAACTCAGGAGCAGGAAGTGACACGTTGGAGTTTAATCACGTTCTGTCAGGTTCGACTAAAACACAAACGTGAAGGTGGAGACATTTTTAATTTTGTACTTGGATTTACACAAGCTGGACCAAATATAATCCACCTCAAAGTATGAATTAATTTTATTTTAACCCCTTAATGCCCTGAAGGCGTCTCCCAGCTCTTCTGTTGATCAGGTTTATCGAGCTGTTTCACAAAAATAACTCCAGAACCGACAGATGTTTGGGTTTCTTTTATGGTCCTTGTTTTATTTGCAAAGGAACAGCAGGAAATCCACTCTCCTTTTCAGATTTCTCTTGGCGCACGATCGATGTTTCTGAGCGAGTGTCTGAGCTTTTAATCGAGCCGCGTTTTTGTTGGTTGTGTCGAAACATTTGGAGGAACCTCAGGAGTGAAGAACATCTTTGGTTATTAAAGCTTGAAGCTCAGATATCTTTTAAAGGGATCCATGATTAGTTGTAACATTAGACTTTATTTGATAAACATTTAGTTTAACTGTAAAATAAAGACTGTAAAAATACTGTAGGATGTTTAGTTTTGTAAATGTTTAAAAATATATTTTAACACAACGGAGCCATTTTATTTACAC